TATTTGTTTTAACAGTCAAATTTTTGACATTTGTCGATTTTATTTTTCAGGTAACAAGTTATTAGTAAGCAGATAAATACATTAATAGAGGTTTTCCGCGGTCTGATAGTTAGGCTAGAATCCACCAGCTCATCTCCTCCTCGGATTTTTGAAAATTTGACACCCGAAAAAGAAAACAATAGCAAGTTGATCGCAATCATCCCCCAACTCTTCACAGCTTTGTTGGAAAGGTGTTGTAGAGGAAGTAGGCGCCGAAGAGGACGAAGTGAAGAAGGGGAAGTGAGACCGAGAAGGAAAGTCGAAAAGTGATTGATGTAGGGCTTAGCTTAAAAACCAAAAACAGAAACTTGGTGCAATCGTCATGAACCTGCACTCCCTTACATGTACCCAAGACGACACTCTTGGAAGCCCCACGTTGCTGCTCATTGGATCTCCTTTGATGGCCCGAGGCTGATGCGTGACCAGTGTGAACTTCAACATTCTTGTACAACCCGACATTTGTCGCCTTGTGTTGCCTTAGAAGTCACTGTAGACAACAGTGTAATCAGCTCTGGGAATGTTCGTCGCTTATTGCTGCGAACCCAACACTCCCATTCGACGAACACCAAGATCGCTGCGAAAACGCTCAAACTACGTTCTTGCCGAGTGGCTTCGTGAAATGGTCCGCCACCATTTCGCTGGTATGACGGTAGCATACCCGTACGTCTCCACCCGCCACTTTTTCTCTTAACCAATGGTACTTCGTGTCAATATGACGGGACCGCTGAGTCACGCCTTTGTGGTGAAGTGACAGTTGGCTTCTGGGAACAAGGGACTGATTGCTGGAATGTGGCCCGATCCAGTTCTGAGACTCGTGGTCGACGGCGGCGCATCAGTGATTACGTCATCATACGTATTCATCGGAGTGGATCGACATGGTGCAATCATTTGGTCACGCGATGTATCCCAAGGATCCGATCTACTGTTGACACATCAACTGATTTCTACCCATGGTAAGTACCACGCGACCCGGCTACAGAGGGGATAGAAAGGGCAGCTACAGGATGGGCAGAAGGTATTGGACCGTTAGAACTTAAAGGAATACTACTCTGTCCGGAAAAAGTTGCACGGATCGGCTTTACACCACCCAATTACTTGATTTCATTATATATTCAAATCCCTACGGTAGAGACAGGACCTCAGAAGCCGTAATCGAGCATCGGATGCTGAGGGGAAGTCTTCCCTCCTTCGCCAGGTGAACTTTCCCCATGTTGTGAACAGGTTTAAAGTCGTTCTCACCTTTCTCCTCGATGCACTTATTCATTGTCGTTTGCAATCTTAGAAATGCGGCATTGATAGTAGGCGGTGGTAGCTCCCAATATGCAACTTTGACGACTGCAATGAGCTCGTCAAAGTCTCGAGTTAGATGCTGTTCCTGCCTCGACTAGATTGCAGTAAACAGCCCCAGATCAAGCACATTCAGATCGGGGCTGTTTGGTGGCTGAAAAACGAGACCAATTGACCGTTTGCCTTGTGCTACAGCTTTTAGAAATCTAGGGTCATCAGTAGCAATGTGAGGGTAAGCGTTGTCCTGCTGGATGACAATTTTTGCGCTCTCATCCATCGCCCAGGGCCTACGCTCGGCAATTGCGGGGAGAAGCTTGTGGTGAAGCAGATTCAGAATATTCCGAGACTGG